TTGCCGTGCGGAGGGAGTGGAAAATATCTACATAGAATGTGTTCCCGTTCCTGTCACACCTACCTACAGAAATGAAGAAGGGTGGAAACACGTGACGCGCTCCCAGAGGAAACGGAAAGAACAGGAAAGCAGCCAGGCAACGAAGATACACACACGCACGCAATGTAAAGACCAAAACATGGAAAATCAGGGTTGTCCTCATAGTTTCTCCGCGGTAATATTACCGCAGTGAAACCACGGTGATTACCGTTTCCCGTGATCCCGTGAAAATGTAGAACTACCGTTCCCCTCCAAATCGTTTCTGTGGAAACTTGGTTTCACCATTAACCCGCAAACCGTTAGCGAACAAATTGAAGTGCCCCATTACCGTACATCAAATTACCGTGGACAAATCGGAAGTCGTATGCTTTCGAGTTACCGCGGAGGACGTTACAATATGATTAACATAATCCCATCTACCGCATAGAAACACCAGTTGCTTCACTGTTCACCAAAGTAAAATGCTCTGTGCCCTTCTAGACCTCTGGACGCGCTCGACTTCCGATAGCCTGCGCGAGGTAATATGTTGAAGGCCCGCTTTACACCTTGTTGTCCTACTTTCCTTGTCTTCCCTTTTATTCGTCATTTTGTAGGTATCCCTTCGGGACGTGGGTGTCTACCCTCCCTCAGGTGACGCAAGACCACATGCGCATGCCCGAAGGGGTACTGTGTGTCTTACAACGCTTGTATTTCCGCCGAAAACATCGCGCACATTGTTATTCTACATTGGAGCCAGCTCGAGCGGACAATATTTGGCAGCGAAAACTCAGACTTCCATGATGTCATTGATGATGGCAGATTTCCAATGAGACCGAACTTGAAGCCGAATTAACACCACAACTGAGACATGTTTAACCCTGCGGCTGGATGCATGCTATCAGATTGTCTACACTAGGCAAGCTGCGAGGTGTAAAACGTCGGTAATGCTGTTGGACGATACGATGGCACGACGAGTCACAGCCATGAATCATCGAAGGAATGAATAAATGAAAGAATGAAAGTGGAGAAGCAAGAGGCAAATATCTTCAAACCGTCGTAATTGATGGGTTTGATAGGTTTCAGAATTGGTTCGCCAGGCTTTGTGAGCGCGAAACGCGTCCCCGGGATTTTGATCGAGTGCTCGCAACTTTCGCCGTCGACCACACGCGCCATGGCGGCCTACCCAGATTCGGGCACGCGCGTTAATGTACGGACGAGCCTCTTACGTGCTCCTGAGAAGTAACCGCGAGAAGAGACTCCCTGCCGCGAGAGAAAGAAACGCCGAAGCATGAAAAGTGTACATATATCATATGAAAGCCATGTTTTTATTTTGGCCGTTCACAGAACGCTCCTTTTTCGTGGATAGATAAGACACAGGTTGTGTTTTTCGTGGTGATATTTTTCGTTGAACCAATGCATAATTTCCAGGTTCTCTGTGGATGAGGAAGGCGGCGCTTGCTTGTCGGGTGTCCTGTTGATGGCATATGACTTGGCGCAGCGATGGACTCACGTCGTCTTGAGGCCACGAGAGCCTTCCTGTGCAATGAAGTGAATACATGCTGTCTGGTTTTCACTCTCCTTTATATGCGACTGGTTTGTTTGGTTGACGGACGTGATCGGTGAATGTGCCGCGTAGGTTTGGTGTGCGGTGACCACACCCTTGAGGAATAACTGAAAGCAAGCAAACGGAACAGAGCCCGACGTGTGGTCAACTGTACAACTTATACCGTGGTGACCAGTTACCGTTGAAAAATGCACATTTCTGTGTATTACCGTGGTGGCCGGTTGCCGTACAAAAAATTACCAGGGTGACGAGTTACAGTACGGAATTGACCGGGGTGGCCAGTTACCGCCCAAACATTACTGTACTGTGCCGTGGCGGCCAGTTACTGCCCAAAATTACGATGTTTTACCGTGGTTTCTGGTGAACGCGGGAAATGATTCCGACATGAAGAACCGCTAACGAGGACAGCCCTGGAAAAGGTACTAGACTATAGTTTACCAAAATGGGAAGCAGGTGTTGAGGACGGAAACGGAAACGGACGCAGAAGGTGGATACTTGTGCAAGTAACATCAAATTAAAGAAACGTTATTCACCGTTGCGTACCAATCACGATCAATTATGTTGTGGGTAGTTCAATTAATCATTGTCATCTGACCTACGCGGGAAAGACCGACGCACAAACGACCTTGCGCGAATGGATCCATCGTGAGATCCAAGCGAGTACGGGGTCAAGGGTTGTCCTTGGGCACGGTGGACGGTGACGCTGAAACACAAGCGCACGGGGAATTTGACTCTCGTCGCGGTTACTCCTTGCCACGTGACGAAACTGAAACCAACACGTGGTCAAGCCGGTTCATGGTTCCGTGGGCGTCCAAGATTTAAACCTGTAGAACATGTGTCAACACAACGACCTTCGTACCATTGATTAGATCGTGCTGTGTAGGCAATTGCTGTACAACTGCTGTGCAACGCTGCTGCTGCTTTGACCATATCGATTTTTATGTCCCAGTGTATATCTCCTGGACTGCCGTTCTCTCCGACGCGTCATGCAGTGAAGGCACTCCTGGAATTATGGCATGGCGTCTATACATGGTAGGCACGGTACTCATATATCCGCCAAAGACTCAACCTAGTCACACAACAAACTCCTATCCGCCAAGACGCCACCCAGTTGCACAACACATTTGTCGTACAGTGTCTATTTTCCTGTATGCATGTGCATACCATCTTTGCCACAATGTCGCACGCCGTGTGTACTCTCGTACGTATTTCGTCTCCGTCGGTAGTAAGGTGTCGTCCATCGGTGTCAGAGACCATAGTATCACACAGGGTGGTGTTGATACGTTTACTTGTGGTCGATGGCAGGCGAGTGTATGCGTGTACCTGTAATAGCTTCCCGCGAGACTGTCGCGAACGTCATGCTGCGACCAGAGAACAATCTTTTCGTTCGAAATTTCCAGCAGTTGCTCTCGGGTGGTTGTGGTTGTGGTGTGCTGCATGTACCATGGAGGGCACGATCTTCACCCACCTTTGCTACGATGTCCCACATACCGTGTTTACTCGTGTCGTTGTTAGTTGTCGAGTGAGGCCTCCTGTACGAACCTACAGTAGTGGGCACACCTTCGCAGGTGCTGTATGCGAAGTGTACCCTGCATGCCGGGGAGTGTGCTGGTGCTGTACAAAGGGTGCTTTTCCCCGTGTTGGTGTTCAGCAACATACTCACACGCGTTCCCCATCTAGGCGCTGCCAAAGCTGAGGGAATGGTTGGGGTGGTATCATAAGACGCGTACGCGACTGTGCCGTATCGTGCTGTGTAGGCAATTGCTGCTTAGACCATGGTATGTACACATTTGTGTGTCCTGACCGCAACTACTTCTTCTGACGGACCTCCGGTGTATGTCTCCAGTGGACTGCCAGTCTTTCCGACGCGTTATGCAGAGAGGGTGCTTCTGGAATCAATCATGGCATGGCCTCTATACATATATGGCGGGCAAAGTATTGATAGTCTATAGATTATCTGCCAAAGACTCCACCCAGTCACACAACAACAAACTCATATCCGCCAAGACTCCACCCAGCTACACAAAAAAAGCAATAAAAACGTAACTGTGTTTTGTTGTTTTTTATGTAGTCTTTTTTCAAGTAAAATCACGGCCGAAGGTCGACGACGTTTGCGAGTACATGAACATGATGAATTTCACCATTTTCGGTGCTCGGGTTAATCCTTCTCTGCTGGGAAAGGGTTTTTTCTCGCACTTTCTTGTGCATGGCACACAGAGGACCTGAGGGTGCATTACCGGTTACGCGTGGGGCTCGCGAGACACCGATGGTGGGCGCTAGGGCCGCGTAATGTCGCTGGGACTGGCTCTTTTCTCAGGGGTTGGGAGTCCGAACCATACAGGCCTCCTAGAACGGGATGAAAACTGAATACACAACTGTTTTTTTCCTCGCGTCACGCGCCCACGCGCCCACACAGCTGCTGATGATGTGATTGTTGTGTACACACCCACCACACAGCAACTGGTGCATGCGTAGCCGCAGCGGGGAAGAGCAAGACTCTTCATGTTGCTCATGGGAACACACAACGAGACACAGGAGGAGTCCTCTCGCACCACTGTGGCAGCGGTCGTTTAAATAATTTCAAATATAGATCTAGCAAACTGTTATTGGGTACGTTGAGCGTGTTTATTTGATCCGTTGTTGGTGTTTGCGTGAAGAAGTCCCACAGACCATGGGAGACGCGATCACACAAGGTGTTTGATCAACCGCAGCGGACTACAGCAGAAGGACCTGCAGCAAAGACATCGCTAATCAAAAAGCACACACTCGCTCGCGCCCAAGCGAACATCACGGTGGGAGAAAATACCCCGCACATGATGCAAACTCCAGGAATATTAGTACATGCAGGTTGCACGCAAACTGGCACTACTGAACGTCATGACGGGCAACCATGCCACCGCCATGACATTCATTTGTCCTCTTGCGTCGCCCCCGGGAGGAATATCACCTGACTCTCGCACGGGAACTTTGTATTGTTGTGTTGTTTTGAGCTGAGTAAAACGCGCACTAGCCCCTTGTGCTCATTCTTCGTCATCACCACCTGCGGGAGCAACCAAGTGGTGCTCCGTCCATAACACCACTACACACTCCGACGAAGAGCGTTACAGCCAAGGAGCCAAGCAACCAGAACGCATGGGCAAGGCTTTCTCCGCATGCACACACTGCATGCACTGCTCAACCCAGTCAGGAGACATGCGCGCCAAACCTACCACAACGGAATCTCCCAAAGAATCAGAGAAGACCGAGAAGGCAGAGATCGACTTCTCTTACGACGAAGACGCATTCAAGGGTGGATTCATGTACCATACTATATGCAGCAAGGGAAGCGAACGCATCTTCACGACAACTGCAACTGGGACTTCAGCACTGATTGATTCTGGACCCTCTAAGACCATGTTCGACAACCGCCTCATCCCGAATGAACGTCTCGAAGAAAAACGCCCGACGCCCAAGATCATCGACGTTGCAGAAGAAAGCCAACTACGAGGCACTCACTACCACAAGGATCCTACACTGCACCATCAAAGACGACAAAGAACAGCAACTACCCGTCAAGCTACAAGGTCTCATCGTGCCAGGACTAGGCCGGACCATCTTCGCACTAACGGCCCTTCTCAAGAAGGGCCTCCGATGTGTCCTGGAAGACNACCGCCTCATCCCGAATGGACGTCTCGAAGAAGAACGCCCGACGCCCAAGATCATCGACGTTGCAGGAGAAAGCCAACTACGAGGCACTACCACTGGGATCCTACACTGCACCATCAAAGACGACAAAGAACAGCAACTACCCGTCAAGCTACAAGGTCTCATCGTGCCAGGACTAGGCCGGACCATCTTCGCACTAACGGCCCTTCTCAAGAAGGGCCTCCGATGTGTCCTGGAAGACAAGACCCCACACCTCACCATTGGCGGAGAAGTCGTCGTTCCTCTGAAACAAGAGACTCAAGACCAAGGCATGTGCACCCTCGCCATCACATTCAAGGGCGANTGCCAGGACTAGGCCGGAACATCTTCGCACCAACGGCCCTTCTCAAGAAGGGCCTCCGATGTGTCCTGGAAGACAAGACCCCACACCTCACCATTGGCGGAGAAGTCGTCGTTCCTCTGAAACAAGAGACTCAAGACCAAGGCATGTGCACCCTCGCCATCACATTCAAGGGCGATCCAGCATCGACAAGCAAGACACCCCGGAACAACCAAGAGCCAGGGCGCCAGCCGAAGTTCGGAAAACCAGAAGCGGTACAGATCGATCACACTCCGCACGCGACATGCTCAGTGGCGATGAGCGTGAGCGCCGACCTCTGGCACCGGCGCCTCGGCCACATCAATCCAAGTGCGATGGAGATTTTGCGGTGCAACCCCGCTACAGGTGTGAAATATGACGGACTTGTATCCCCGTGCGACAGCTGCCACCNAACCCCGCCACAGGTGTGAAATATGACGGACCTGTATCCCCGTGCGACAACTGCCAAATCACGAAGCACAAGAAGGCTCCCGTCCCGAAGAAGACCAGCCGTGTCCTGACCAAACCAGGCCAACTCGTCCAGTTCGACAACATGGGACCAATCGACCCGCCTGCGAAGTACAACGGACGCACCTACTCCTACGTCGCCAAAGCGACCGACGTCGGGAAGTGTACCTACTGCGCCACAGGACCGAAACCACGCAAGCTCTGCACGCTTACAATATGCAAGTAGCATCTGAAGGCTACCGCATCGAGGTTCTACCCTGCGACAAAGGGGGAGAGAACACTGGGGAAGAAATGCGCAACTACTGTAGGGAGTCTGCGATCAAGCTGGAATTCGCCGCGACCAACACGCCCCAAGAAATCGGAGTGTCAGAAAGGGATGGCCAGACACTTGCGGCTGTGACTCGAGCTCTACTGCGCGATGGAGACTTCCCAAAACACATGTGGGGGAAGCTCATGATGACTGCAGCATACCTGACCAACAGCACCCCACATGCGGAGCTAGGGGGCGCCGTTTTCCAAGATGTAAAACACAACCCCGGACCTTTCTCGACTCGTGCCATCGGCGCCCGCGCGTTCGTTCATCAAGAGCGATACAAGAAGAAGCTAGACGACCGGGCCTTTGAAGGCAAGCTCTGCGGTTACGGACCTGACAGTAAGACGTACCGGATCTACGTGGAGGGCAAAGACATGGCCTACGAGAGCCGAACGTGACTTTCATCGAGACTCCACCCAACACCATCCCCCCTCACCGGTGGGACGACCGTCTCGGATATGAACTGGACGTGATGAACTTCACATCATTGCTCGGACGCGGTACCTCTACGGGCGACGGAGACAACAAAGTGGACTACGGAACAGATTCAGAGCTCCTACTGCCTGAGATGCGCAACATGCAGCAAGACAACATCAACCGAGCAGAACTTCGCAAAAACAACGCGTGCGCGGATTCCGACGACTACTTTGCTGCTGGGGGAGATGACAGCAGTAACAACTCGCGCACTACGACACCATCCAGGACATCGCAAGGATCCTACGCGAGAGATATCCTACAACGATACGGAATGGAATNTGTACCTTGCCCAATGCACCCGCTACGATCTGTCATACGCAGTGCACCAACTGACACGGGCATGCGCAAACCCAGCACAGGTCCACATGGCTGCGGCCAAGCACCTACTACGGTACCTACGCGGAACGCCGGACCTGCCGATCGTGTACAAGAAGGGGCAGTTCAGACTCTCGTGCTTCACTGACTCGTCATTTGGAGCCAACCCAGACAACGGCAGGTCTACCACCGGATACCTGTTTTTCCTAGGAGGGGGACCGATCAGCTACGGAGCCACGGCACAGACTCCCGCAGCACAGAACACCGTGAAGGCCGAACTTCAAGCGCTGAGCTTCAGAGCTCGCGAGGCAGTCTACATCTCCAACTTCATGACGGAAATCGGATTCAAGACCTTTCGATCGGTACCCATCAACAGCGACAGCACCGGAGCATTGACTGTGGCCAGCAACGCGATGTTCAGCTCTAGAACCAAGCACATCGCGCTCCGATTCTTCTTCCTCAGGGAACTCACGAAGGGGCACCGGATCACTCTTGACCGCCAACCTAGTGCCACGATGTTGGCGGATATCGCGACGAAACATCGCCCGAAGCAGCCATTCGCCACCATCATGCAACTCATCATGCACTACAAGTGCTAGAAGATATTAAGCACAAGATCGTATAGTATGGCTAAATGTTTTGAACGCGTGTATTGCTCACAGGATGGATTCACTCATGTGGAGGTCGATAATCTCTGATATGGATTGGGAATTGAGGGGTCGCAAAAATTGGCAGCGAAGTGAAGTTTTGGAACATCGGCTACTCGCCTAATCGAGGGGTCGTGTCGAGGAAAACTGTTACAACGTAGTCAAGCACAGTTTACCATAGGTGCGACTGCGGCAACTAGCCTTCCCTAGACATAATACAGAAAGAAGAGATGGTACTTAACAGTGAACATGAGCACAGAGTTGTATGCATAGCGGAGATAATTTGGCAGGCGAGACTGTAGTCGTTTTTTTGTTCCGAACCCCGAAATTCCGCTACTCGGGCCAATACCCCGGAGACCCTCGGAACCTGCCGTGTTTGCTGCTTGTTTTTCTGTTTTGTTGTTGAGATGAGACACAAGCGCGCCTTCGCCCCTTGTGCTCAGTCTCATCTAGCATCCATCAAAGCCTGACCAGGGAGTCAGTTGATAAGAACATCTATCTACATTCCTCTTTCCGAAGCTCGCTCGGGCCTACCGATCTCACAGCAGTGTAACCTCTGTGATAGACTTCAAAGTCTACTAGCTACAGCAGCATCGCCATCTCCGCTGCTGCAGAACGCCACATTTTGTGATAGGCTACACACCCGCTACGGATACATAAGACTATAGCTTTTGCAGCCACCACTGTCTGCAAACGCATTTCACCGAGACACACTTCACTTCCTTTCAAACTCTCACCGCCCTTGGTCTCGTTGTGACCACCTGCGAGGGGCCAATCCCTAACCTTTGTTGCATGTATTGAGGTATATTGTTGAAGAAGCACGATGGCCACTACCTAGACCACAAGTCAGCGCGGACTAGTGGTCACGTGGCCATCGTGCTTCTGTACATGTGTGTGCACCACTAAAGATAGTTTGATGTTGTTGAGGTTCACAAGTGCTGCTCCCTCGTGAGCGTGATATTCGGCGTCGACGTTAGGCCCTTGGACGGGAAGAATGTAACCGGCACGCCCCGGGAGTGTCGTGCTACGCGGCGCGCTGTATCAGCTGCCTGGGCTGGACCGCCGGCATAGTCTAATGTTCTGGAATTTAAACTTCTTTCGCTCTCTCTGGTTCTCTCCGCGGGTTTTTTATGACGTCACAATCGGCTGTCGTCAAAACTAATAATGAAAAACGGAGGCACATCAAGTCCGTGTTCACTAACCCCTGTCATGAACGTCAGCGAAATGTTTCATGAAACATTCCATGACACGTAATGGAAAACTTTCATGAAATTTTTCATGACATGTATCTCGTTAACGTCAAAATCTCATGCACGTCCATGATACATTAAATGGCAGTCCATCAAATCTTCACGGAAGTCCATGAAATGTTGATCGAAGTACAAGGATTTCGATGAATATTCCATTAAATACCACGGGTATGTTCCATGGAAATCCATTTGACCCTCCATGGAATGGCATGGAATGGACTTCCATGAAACGTTCCGCGGACGCACACGGAACACCACAAGCACTTCCCTCGAAAAGTACGAAAATTTACACGCACCAACATTCCGCACCATGCCCAAGCAAGCGGTGACGATGTTTTTCTTACAGTATCCGATTGCGCACCTTCCAACCAGAGGAGCGTGGGCGTGCCTCAGGCCATGTGGCATGGGTCCCTTCGACAGACCGGAAGCTCCATTCCGACTCAAGTTCCGCCTGCTCCAGGCAGAGGCAATGGAGGCACTGCTGTACGGCTGCATGACATGGTAGCCGCTCAATGGCCACTACCAGACGCTGCGGTCGATACACTACCTACTGCTCCTTCGAGTTATCGGGTACAAGCGCAAGAAAGACACCTATCGGCAGCTTTCCTGCGTCCAGACGCTGAAGAGGGTCGGATGTCAGAGCGTTGAAGCCACGGTCCGACGACGACGCCTACTGTTCGCGGGAGCATTGGCAAGGCAGGCGGACGGGCGACTCCCGAAACGACTGATGCTCGGCGATTTGGCGGGGGGGTGAGAAGCGCCGTAGGGGGGGAGAGCAACAGAACTGGCCGAGGTGTGTCCTCCACGACCTCAAGGCACTCGGGGCCGACCACGGATCTACGACAACCGATCCATGGTGTTTCGGAATCACGGGACCGAAAGACACGGCACCGAAACTAGAGTGAACGGAAGCCGCGAAGGTGGAGGGGGGAGTACCCTGGCATGCGGCGGTGCTTCAGGGAGCTGATAGGTTCATGACCTCATGGCACGAGAAGGAAGAAGAGGTCAGTCGACCACGAGCGCTTAACGAGGCCACAAGTCAACAACCAGTGGGGCGGGAAGGAGGCAGCAGACGGACGAGACGGCGAGGGAAGAAAGCAAACGGGAAGGGACGGACCGAGTGGCACGATACGTGCCGGACTGAATTTCGTTTAGCGAATTCCCCCCCCCCCCCCCCCCCCC